CTGACTCAAGTCTTTAATTTGGGCTTCATTCTTTTAAATTGGACCTGCTGTAAACCAAGCATAAGGAGCTCCCCAACACTGCAAGCTCTTTCACAAACTTACTGGGGAACATAGTTTGAGTGGGGTACTTATAGCAGTGGAGGTCTCACATGTAAGGCATTATATTTCACATACTTCCCATCACTCAGTTTTGTGCTGCTATAAATCTTCTCCCATCATCAACCTCATGAACATACCCTTGGTATGTTCAGGAAATGGAAGGGTGGGGAGATCTGGTGATTAATTAAGCCTATTGTGAATTGGGCCCAAACCTCTTTTAGCATTCCAAACCTCACAATTTAACAAGAGAAGGCACCATCACTCATGAAGATACCTTATGTTCCTGCTATAGATATATCATGAGACTTCAGGGCAACTTCAGGGAACACACAGTGCAAAGAAGGACTCTAGGGTGATAGGTATGCCTTCAGCACCATGGACAGCACACAATGTAGTTCAAACTAAGGATAGCTAACTAGTGAACGAATCAGTAATCTGACCTGATTCTCAGATAAAGCCAAAATAGTTAGCTGTCTACTGAGGTGCCTCCACACCATTAGTATGATTTGTTTAAGCACACATTTAGGTTTGTGGAACTAATGTCAATTAAAGTGCTCTAGCACAACAAATCCATTTTTTCCCCAATGGACTTTTGTGGTTAGAAAAGTGATGGGGAAATTCACTGAAAAGTGAGGGATGAATGGATGATTAATGGGAAGACATATAAAAACCCTACAAGCAAGTCAATATGAATGCTTGTTGTCATATAGCTTTCCTGCAATCACATCATGATGAATGCTCAATAAAGATTGGGCATAGCCTAACATCAGCATAAGTTTTGTGCAATCAAATCAGGATGAATACTGGTTTTTTTTTAAAATGCTTGATGTTTTTAGTATGTTTTTAGATCTGCTGTAAGTCACCCAGAGTTTCTGGGGAAACCCAGCCAGATGGGTGGGGTAGAAATGTTGTTGTTGTTGTTGTTGTTAGGTCATCTGGAGGAGCTCTGAGAGCAAAAATACTTGCTCCACCTCTCAGGTGGAAAAGATCCCATTTAAAGGATAATGTTCTGGTTTTTCTAAAATAGGCACTCCAGCAACACCTCTGGAACTGACCGGTATAGTGATGAAAGCAGGATAAGACAAAAAGGAGAACAGGCTTCAGTGCCCAGTGATGCAAAACTCTTTATTGTAGCTCAAGGCATTTCAGAGTGAAAAACTCCTTCTTCAGGAGCTTGAAAAGAGAATTATTTAAATTCAAAAACACCTCATTCCACTTAAAGAAACAGCTTGAAAAAGTAGTATAGCAGTATTTTCTCTGGGTGCTCACATCTATGTTGAACCTTAAAAGGTGACATTTGGATGATGGGTGACTTAGGAAGCAAAGTCTTCTCAGTAGGGCTATCAGCCTGTTCTGTGGAGGTCTCTTTCTATTGGTTGGTTCCTGGGATGGTCAAGATATAGGAACCCTGGGGGAGAAATAAATTTTCCCCAAGGCAATATTGAGCCACAAGCTTTGAACAGTTCATTGTAAATGTGACCTGTGTTTATTATAGAGCAAGAAAGAGTCAAATGTCTGTAGCTTTATGGCTGGTGTCCTATAATGCTGTGACAGACAGTATCTGACAAGCACACCAAGGATTGAAACATGGCCCTTTTGAGTCAGCAATAGCTAGAAATCTCTGCCTTGAACTAACAACTCAGTTTCTGAAGGTATAATATGTGGCACTTAGAATGAGTTATGACCAATCCATCACTTAGCCACAAAATACCAGATGTACTTGTGGCTAAGTGATGGATTGCTCATCAGTCAGGCCTACTTTATGTGCTGTACAAAAAAATAGTGTAAGTTCAAATGCTTAATTTTTGCAATGTTTTTCTGAATGTATTTGGGGAATAGGGAATTGGCTGCCCATCTTGCTACTCAATATAGCTTTTGCTGTTTCAAATGTGCCCACTGGCCTCAAAAGGTTGGCAACGCCAACCCTAAGCTGTGGGAGAGGCAGATTTATAGAAAAGGAGCATATTACTACTACTACTACTACTACTACTACTACTACTACTACTGCTGCATCTGACTGGCTTGCCCCAGCCACTCTTGGTGGTTTCCAGCAAGATAGAAAAACACAATAAAACATCAGACATTAAAACTTCCCAATATAGGGCTGCCTTCATAGGCATACATGAAATAAAACGTATTTTTCAGTCCATGTCAGTGGAAGGTCCAGAAACCCACAGAGAAATATCAATCAAAAGAAGCTGAATATCAATGCAAGGTATACTGACTGAGATATAGCTGAAAGTGAAGGAAGCCTTCTGGTCTCATTAAGCTTGATATGACATCTGAGAGGGACCAGAAGTGACCTCATGTGTCACCTGGCACTTGCCTATATCTCCATACGGAAAGATCTGTCCTTCGCTAATGCCCCTCCTCTGTTTCCATTTTCAGCATGAAGCATTTTCTTGTTTGTCTTCACTGTGTCTTGGCTTTATAAATATTTATAGGATGTAACGCTGAAGTTTGTCACATGTAATTATGTGAAAGTAACATGATGCTGTCTGCAGGTGGCATGTGTAGGTTGAGATGCTTTGCCAAAGGACATGATTGAATGGCATGCGGCAGAAGGAGAACTGCCTGATAGTTATGCTCTCTGAACAGCTAGAGAAACAGAAGCTCTTTCCTAAAACATAAACAATGGGGACCTGGGCAGCTCAAACCAACCCTTTCACAGTGTTCACCTATCTCGTTGAGTGCAAAACAGGCAGTCACAACGCCATCCTTTGATTTTGCTGTCTGGTGGGAACTTAGGAAACATGGATTCACTTTCCTTGCTCTTTCTCCATAAAGAAGCTACTTCTTTGAATTTTATAACTTTGTGCACTTATAAAATTCAGACTTTCCCAATCTTGCCAATGCAACATTTATGACTGAGATTGCAAAGTATTTCGTTGGTTGGATAGAGTGTATATCTGATGTCCTATAGCAATTGTTTAAAATGCTTATCTGGAGACAAAAAGCTCCTGTCACATGGAAGTCTATCACTTCTGTCTGGGACTCCAGGCCTTTCACCAGGAATTGCATGGCTTAAAGGTGAGACCATGCTTAGTAAGGTACCCAAGAGTATTAGGCTTTAGAAGAGCTTAGGCTTTAGAAGAATGCAGGAGTGTGCAAAACTGTAACTGGCAGTCAATATGAAGTCTCTGGGTTGACCAGGTCTGGTATAAGCATTAGGAGCATAGTTTTATGACCTAGTGTGATCAGCAGGGTATGCTCCAGGACTAGATTCAAGGACAGGTCATCCTAACACAGTTGTAAGAAGAATGGAGGTTGCTTCCATATTAAGGTCCTTTAGTAGTGCCATTTTGCAATTAAAAAATGGGAGAAGAAATCCATTACCCTGCTCTACCCCCCTCCAGGAAATCTGTAGCAACACCAGTGACCGGAGATGGGGGCATCTTGGGCAAACCACATCAGCAGCTAAAGGAAGAAGAAGAAGAAGAAGAAGAAGAAGAAGAAGAAGAAGAAGAAGAAGAAGAAGAAGAAGAAGTTGTTGAAGTTGTTATTTATACCCCGCCCATCTGGCTGGGTTTCCAGTGTGGTGTGGTTAAGAGCAGTGGACTCGTAATCTGGTGAACTGGGTTCGTGTTCCTGCTCCTCCACATGCAGCTGCTGGGTGACCTTGGGTTAGTCACACTTCTCTGAAGTCTCTCAGCCTCACTCACCTCACAGAGTGTTTGTTGTAGGGGAGGAAGGGAAAAGAGGTTGTTTGCCGCTTTGAGACTCCTTAGGGTAGTGATAAAGCGGGATATCAAATCCAAACTCTTCTTCTCTTCTCTTCTTCCCCAGCCACTCTGGGCGGCTCCCAAGAGAATATTAAAAACATGATAAAACATCAAACATTAAAAACTTCCCTAAACAGGGCTGCCTTCAGATGTCTTCTAAATGCCAGATAGTATTTTATTTCCTTGACATCTGATGGGAGGGTGTTCCACAGGGCAGGCACCACTATTGAGAAGGCCCTCTGCCTGGTTCCCTGTAATCTCACTTCTCGCAGTGAGGGGACGGCCAGAAGGCCCTCGGCGCTGGACCTCAGTGTCCGGGCAGAACAATGGGGATGGAGACGCTTCTTCAGGTATACTGGGCCGAGGCAGTTTAGGGCTTTAAAGGTCAGCACCAACACTTTGAATTGTCCTCGGAAATGTACCGGGAGCCAATATACAGCCACATATTCTTCAACTGTAAGACTTTTAAAGGCATCTGAAGGGGAAAAAAACCAGCCTGAGAAACTGTGGACTAGCCTGAATTTGCCATTACTGAACTGTTCCTTTCTCCTGATATCTAGTGAAACAGGTTTAACTATCCAGGCAGCAAATTTCTAACAGCAGAGACTCTCGCTAGTATCAGTCTCCTCTGTTTTCTCACTCAAATGTTCCCAGAGCCATTTTGCATTAGTCACTCTCTCCTCCCACAGACGACAACAAATACTAATGGGATATGACACTGTAACAGCTGAATGAAGTGCCACTAATGGGACGAGGCTGTCACATTGTCTCAGTGCAAGGGAAGCCTTCCATGCAGCTTCAGCTTGTTCTCACCCATGCCTGCAAGCGCCAGCCTGCCCCTTGGGCACCCAGGGAAATCCAACCTCATGAGCATCCTCCAAACTGTTCATATAGTGGCAGGGAGGTGAACTGTGCAAGCATATGCCATGGAAGACCGTGACTTGGCTGGGCTTTGTCAGCTAACCACAGAGGCATGACCTTAGCTACAGCACTCCCGAAGTCCCCGCTGTGAGAGTGCACTGGCCCCTGACCAGCTCAACAAATACAGACCAGAGAACCTGTCTGTGTTTCACGGGCATGTCCACGCTTCAGCTTGGTTGGGTTTCAGGAGCTCATTATCACACGCAGCACTCATCCAGCTCCCAAGGCTCCAATACGGTTTCAGCAGCATGAACTGGGGGATAGCTCAGTTGGTAGATCATGAGACTCTAAATCTCAGAGTCATTAGTTTGAGTCCCATGTTGGGCAAAAGATTCCTGCATTTCAAGGGGTTGGACAAGTTGATCCCTGTGGTCACTTTCAACTCTACAAAGATTACAAAGTTGTAATCTAAGGCTGGGTACAATCTTATACCCACTTACACAGAAGCAGCAGTTAATAAATCTGTGATTTCCACCCCTCCATTCCATTTCTCATTATTTCCAGTTTTAAGTTCAGTTCATCCTATTCCTGCACCAGTTTGTGATTTTTAAAAAGAGAGTCCCCATAGAAATTCATCTGCATTTTGTTATGTTATGTTCTCTTCATTTATGCATTCTTATCTACATTTCCCCCTAATATATGCATTTTGAACACTTGTTTTGGTTAGAGAACAGCACTGCAGCATTCAGAAAAGTGTGAATTCTGAAAGGTAGCTGTGTTTTGGTTCACATATTGTTTTCAGAAGTGTGAATGGAGTAGGTTTGCATTAAAATGTAAGTGGAACCAAATTTCTCCCCCCATCCCTACCTGAGAGAAAGCCTCACTGAATGGGACTTACTTGTGAACAGACATCTATAAGGTTGCACTGAATATTTACCTCCAATGTGCATTCAGAACTCCATAATCTCATAGTGGAGAAATACAGGATTTAGGGAGACTGCTGCATAGAGAGAGCTACTTTCACAGCCCTAAATCTTTCTCTTTTGTATACCGTCTGTGAGCTCTTTGCATTGTTATTATTTTGATGGTTTGGTCCAGATATGAAAAGATTCTCAAGCCCAAGCTGACCTCCCTCACACATCTCCAAGAAGTTACAGCTACTTCTTCAGCCTTGGCCAGCGGTTTTCCCATTAAACAATGGACGGTCACAGTATCATTTTTGTATAGCAGCCTGTTCTTTCACTTGAACTTCAACCATATGAGCATGACTCACAGGGTAGGATGACATCCATCCATAATAAACATTGGTCTCCAACATCCTGGAGCCACCCACACTTGGAGCTGTGATGATTACAAAGCCATTTCCCGTATTGTCATAACCTTCTTTTTATTATAAGGGATCACCTGTGCTTGTCAGTGTTGCTGCTGTGTGGCCCCAATTTATGCACTTGTATCTACCTACATGCCTGCATACCCATTTGTAGGTAACAGATCTATATAAGAGCATGATTTTCTTTTGTTCTGAATGTTTCAGCTGCTGGAGGCTTTTGAATTGCACACCCAGACTCTCAAATAGTCTTGCCATTGTTCTCTTCACTTATCACTGTGCACTGAGTCATACTGTTATCTGACAGTGCAGGAAGGATGGGTCTCTGAGATATCAGATGCAATCCAGTCAGCATCAGGCTGTTTTGTTGGTTTGAGTCTGTGCTTTGCCTTCAGAAGGGTAGCAACAAGAGGGGGAGGAGGGGGAAAACTAATGAGATTAATCCTCTGAATTCATTATGCAAAATCCTGGCATCCATCCAAGCTCTCTTGCACGAGCGGTCAATGCCTTCCTTTAATAGCATTAAGCAAAATTACAAATCACAATGTTGGCTAATCAATCTCAATAGGTTTCACTGCATCCATTAAAAAGAAAAGAAAACTCCATCCAAGAGAGCCTGTAGTCACTGGAATTCAGGGTGGGGGGTGGAGCTTTCTAAGCATCTTCAGCAGTAATTGCTGGAGAGGATGCTGATGACTTTTATCTGTTTTGAAGTTCTTATGCAGGCAGGCATAAAGGTGGATATGAGGAAAGAAGAGACAGAAAGGTGGTTGGGGGGAGAGCAGAGTGAAAATAATCGGGCAAGGGGCAGTGCATAGGAAAGCAAAAGCAAGGAGGAATCTGGAGTCGGGGGGGGGGCAGATGAGCTCAGTTTATCTTTCTCAAGCAGACTTGACTGCTTTTGTGTTGCTGAAACTGACCAGAGATCAACCTATCACAAAGCCATTCATCTGCACCCTCCACCGGTTCTTTGGCCCTATTTTGATGGTTGCCACATGGTTGATGAAGAAACATGGCATCACAGCAGGCTATGGAGAAGCACCCCAACATTGCCCCAATGAACTCAGTGGGACCTGTTGAAGAAAGAGGCAAAACTTTTTTCAAGAACTTCCCTTGATTGATTACAAATGGAAACAGGGCTTTTCCTGAAAATTAGGCTGTGACAGAGCCTGGGTAGCCAACATGGTTCCCTCAAGATGTTGTTGGACTACCAATCCCATCAGTTCCTGTCAGCATGGCAGATGGTCAGGGCTTATGGGAGTTGTAGTCCAACAATACCTGGAGGGCCACAAATTGACCACCTGAGATTTAGAGGATACTTACTTAAAAAAAATAAAATTACAGTTATATAATTGTAAAAATACACTTATAATTACAGAACACATACTGAGAAACAAGGGAAAACGACAATAATTTCAAGCTCCCCAACCCTGTCTAATGTCAGTTCTTATCCAGATAGTACAGTCTGGAAGATGTTTACTTGCAGCAACTGAGCACAGCCTGTTTCCAAGCTAATGCTGAAAATAAGAGTACAAAATGTTGACCAGAGCACACGGAAAAATCTAACACCACAAGTCCCTGTTCTGTATTAACCCAGAGTTTAAAGGGGCCACCAGTCCATCAAATCTTCTCCAGCACAAAGCATTTCACAGGCAGCTAGTAGTTTCCTAAGCAATTTCTAAGGGCAGGCCCCCTCCAATAATCATGTGGCACAGGATAAAGGATCAGCAAACATCTAATAAATCCTTGATTCAACAAAAATGGGAAAGTATTTGTGTTTGCAAGGGGGATATAACTCACTCTTTTGACAGTACAGATTTGTCTCTACAGCACATTTCATAGGTTTAGCGGGCGTCTTTTAAAAACCTCCAACTTTTCCTCTTCAAATTCTGAATTCTTTAAGAAGAGCAGTTGGCAGTGAAAGACACTTACTAGCCTATAAAAGCAGATGTGGAGAGCCTTGCACTCATAGGCTGCATACCACAATCCCCCAGGTCACATCCCTCACTGTCCCTCCTGTGATCCCTACCTGAGTGCTTTTGCCCCCTGTTTACATTTGTTTAAATATTACATTTATCCCTTCCTCTCCCCTTCATTTATCCTCACAACAACCCTGTGAGGTAGGTTCAGCTGAGAGATAGTAGACCAAAGTTACCCTCTGAGCTTCAAGGTTGAATGGAGATTTGGATCTGGCTGTCTCCAATTCTAGTTCAACACCCTAACCATTACACCACACTGCCATCTTGGTTTGCAGAGACCTCTGCCTCTGGAAATGCTGGGCAAAATGCAAAACTCAAGTGCCAGTAGGAGACATCTGTTAGAGATTTGCATGTGCAGAATCAGGAGAAATGGTAGAATGGGGAGGTGGCAAGGTGAACTCCTCAGAACTAGAATCTCAGGAGGTCAGGATGAAAGTGAACTGGTGGCTCTGTGTAGAAGTGGCATAGCAGGTGAGCACTTCTGATACCACAGATTTTGACATTTGAGAACACTAGAACAGCAAAGGCATTCATGGCTCTGGAGCTGGAGTTAACAAATGAGCTATTTCAGCAGAGCTGCCTCAGGGAGCTTCAATGCACTGGTATGCTTGTCTAAAGTCAATACCTTCAACTCTGGACTTACATGAATATTGAGCTCTTCTCTCTCTCTCTCTCTCTCTCTCTCTCTCTCTCTCTCTCTCCATTCCCCCACCACCTTGTTCAAGAAATGGCAGAAAAGGGGTCTGAGGGAGATCCCTTACCACAGGCATGAGGAATCCTTGGCCCTCCAAATATTGCTGAATTACAGTGCCCAGCATAGAACAGCAATGCTGTACACCTGAATTGCCAGCAGCATTGTCACTTCCAGTTACTGGAAGGGCGAAAGGTGAGGCAGCAAGGATGTCAGTGCTGTGCAGGAACCCTTGTGGAGCCAATCTGATACTCCCACTAGTGCACCCACACAACACCAACATCCTCCCTCCCTCCCACCCTTCTGGTAGGAGGTCAAGTTGCAGGAGGTCAAGTTGCAGTGGTGACCCTTCCTGCCAAACATTGTGGGGATTACTACAACTTCCAGAATCCCCAAGCACTGACTGTGCTGGCTGGGGCTGATAGGAGTTGGAGCCAAACAACATCTGTTGGCTACATCTTTGGAATAAGAGTCATGTTCAGTGGGGCAGTTCACTGTTAATAGAGACAGTTCTATATTAAGGAATTGGGGGCAGTATCATGACTTGGGCTTATATAACCTGCCTGTGGTGTAATAAGATATAGTTCATCTCAAACAATCCTACCACACAATTTACCTCAGCCCAGGTTTCAAGACATTTGGTGGCCCAGTTTCTCTGACTCCCACAGTTTATCCAGGCTAGTATAACCCCCTCACATTACCTCATTGCCCTCATACTCTTTCTACCTCAAAGTTTCTCTCACAATGTGTTCAATTAAATTCCAGTTGTACATAAAACTATTTTAAGTTATAGAGCAAGAGTAAGGCACTGAGATTTAAAGATGTAATGAAGGACTGTAGGTTTTTCCTCAAAGTCTAACTAGAATTGAGAGAGAAGTGGTCCCTTGGTACCAATACCTACAATGGAGTAATTTGATTCAAGACTAGCATTTGTGCAAAACTAATTGGAATCTGGCTGCGTTAAAAATCAGATCACTAAGTGACTCAGTCAGAAGGGGGCACATCAATATTCTACAACTTACTGAGGCCTCAAGTACGGCAAAAAAAAATTAAAAATCCCACCACAACCATCTCTTTATGCTGTCAAATGGTTCCAGGTCTTTTCCCCAGAGGAGAACTAGAGGCAGGTATGGTTCATCACAGTCTTCAACACAACTTGAATCTTCCTCAATTTTTTTTTAAAGAGAAATCTCCCCTGTGGTAACAACAAGAAGCGCACTCCAGCAAAGTTGCAAAATATTAATGAACAATGTTCCAACCATGGTTGGGTGGACATATTGTCAGCTTGGTTGGTTATGTCCCCAAATCAGAAGATTCTGAACCTGGATACACCAGTTTATTGACTCAGTTGTGAGCTATTGCATCCTATTAGACATGTGGGAAGCCCTCCTAAGTATCCCACAGTTATCTTTTATTCATTTAGTGGTTACACTGTAGAATCTACAGTGTTGCTAGGATGTTTAGATATAGAAACTGTGTGAACAACAACAACAGATGCTGAATTGCGACTAGATGAAAAGACCTTCATTTGCTGCCTTTTACAGGTTGGCATGATAAAATGTGGGAACCTTTAGTAATGGATGAAATTTCAGAAAGAGGCATATGACCTGCTCTTTCTAGAAAAATTGTTTCCATGTATTGTTAGCTCAGCAAAAATAATACATAGAAGACAAGTGCATCTAAATCAATATTTATTGTTTAATGTTAAAGAGAGGGAGAGGGGAAAAAAAACAAAGAAAAATCACTCTTCAACTGTAAACTTTAGTGATCTTTGATTTTTTGATACTGTGGAATGTAGAAGAAATATTGGTTGTTATTATTGCCTGTTTTGTCATTGCTTTCTTTTTTCTTTTTTAATTAAAATCTATTAAAAATACAATTGGTGGTGATTATGGAGTATTGAACAGTTCTGAGAAACAGAACAGTAAAACAGTATTGCTGCACGTTCTGGGCAACGCCTACTTGGAGGGCCCTGGAGAATGAGAACTGTGTGTTTACACAGCTAGCAGAAAGCCTGCTTTGTTGGTTCCATTATGTTTTCCTTTTAAAAAGTCAACGAGGGCGGGGGGGGGGGAGCCCAGGGGCCCAAATCAGGGACTCAACTTGCAAAGCCCACTTTACTTTCTCTTTACCATGGAGTCAGATTTGAGAGACAGAGGAATTAACCAGGCGAATCTCTGCTATGCTGCAGTGCCACCCCCATGGGGGGGGGGCTGGAAATGCAGCTTCCCAGACTGGTCAGGATCATGTGACTTGTGGAACCAATGGGGGCCTGGCTATACAATTCTTGCTCCGAGGTGTGTTCCTCAATCTGAGTAATTTGCTGGGTGGATTAATAACACAGATTGCCACAGTTCTCATCTGCCCAAACTGTTACCCAACTTTCAGCCTGTGATTTTGTGCTCATGTATATGGGGCAACTGGATAAGGGTGGGGCAGAACTTCAGTTAGTGAAACTACCTAGTTCATACTTCGTGTAACAATTTGTGGATCACAAGACAGACGTCCTTCAAAAATGGCACTTCATATTTTTCAATGTAGCTATCTAACCAAGGTTTGAACACAAAACAGCATGTGCATAAAATGCATACATTGGTGGAAACCACATATAAACATGGATTATATTTGCAAAAGGTTAATATCAGGTAAAACTGCATACAAAAACATGTGTACAGTGGTACCTCGGGTTAAGTACTTAATTCATTCTGGAGGTCCGTTCTTAACCTGAAACCGTTCTTAACCTAAGGCACCACTTTAGCTAATGGGGCTTCCCGCTGCCGCCGTGCGATTTCTGTTCTCATCCTAAAGCAAAGTTCTCAACCTGAGGTACTATTTCTGGGTTAGCGGAGTCTGTAACCTGAAGCGTCTGTAACCCGAGGTACCACTATATTAGGTGAAAATCACATTACAGAATGCTGATGAATTTTCAAGAGGACTTTGGGGGTGGGGAGCAAAACTGATGAGGTGAACAAAACGTAAGGCTGGAAAAATGAGAAACTGAAACTGACACTTTCGCCTGTCGCTCTCTCTGGATCTGAGTCTGTTTCACTTCTATAATGCCCAGATATTGGTGGTTGTATAACCCTGCAGGAGTGTGCGTTGCAAGAACATGTGCCTGCAATATAGCTGTGATCTGTAATATGGCAGTATGAATGCATGTCTCCAGCTTCAGATCACAGTACCGGTGTACAACCATCTGCAAATAAGCCGGCAGACAGAGAATCCACTCCTTGAAGGAGGGAAAGCCATTGCTGTAGCTTCCCCTTAGCTTCCCAGCCTCCTCCTCATCTAATCTAAAATTAACTCCACTGTTCAGCTGCATTTAAGCAAAACCAGTTGCCATGGCCACGCCAGGGGCTCCTGGATGTAGCGAACGAGGCAATCAGTTAAAATGAATAGCCACCGAGCTGATGCTTGCTGTAGGTTACATATGAAGTTCATTCACTTGTTAAACCTAATGGACTGGATTGCCCGTGAATTGGAAATGTAAATTTTGTCTCTTTCAGTGGCTAGAGTTCGAAGCAGGAAAGAAAGCTAGGGAAAAATGTCGTCCGGCAGCTGCTGCTACTGGTGGCATGAGCTGACAAACGCTGCAAGGCGTGACAGCTGACGGGTGGCGTCGGAAGGGCTGCGCTTTCGGCAAGTAAGTGGCAGAAATCACAAGGCTGAGCATGCCTAGTAATTCCTCAGAAGGTGCCTATTATATTTAGTTAGTGCCTGTCCTGGTGTTTTCTCCATTAATGCTGCTATTCCTTTAATCTTGACCCCTGCTACTTACATAGCCCCTTTATGATTATAGGACCTTTGCAGGCAAAACCATTAGAACTGTGAAAAGCAATGTCCCTGTGGCTTCATAGACATGACCATTTTTGACAGTAGTTATAACACTGAAGTATGTCACCACTGTTTCTAATATCCAGCATGAACACACACACACACACACACACACACACTCCATCCCCTCCCTCTCCAATGTAAGATGTCGTCAAAAGTCAGATTTTAGGGGTGTGTGCGGCGTGGCAGGGAGTGAACCTCAGCAAATTTGAAATACCCAAACAAGATTAAATTGCAAAAGTTAAAAGTATAGTCAGATAACATTTGTTGTGATGTGATGCAGAGCTTCTTCCTCATAATAATAAGTTCAGATGCAATGCTGAAACAGTTTAGCATTGTAAGAATGAATCTAGGCAAAGTGCAGCCATGGGGATTTTTGAACCTTTTCCTTAATTTTTTAAAATTAACTTGCCATGTCATCTGACCCAAGAAACTGTGGCTGATCTTGCCAATGGTTTGCTGAAACAAGCCAACTTCCAACTGTGCTGTAAGAATCTAGATCGTTTGAGCAAATCACAGTTAAGATAAACCACAGTTCGGCTTTGATCACAACACTAAACTGTGGTTATTATAAAACTGAAGCAGAAGCTTCCAATACCTTCTTCACAGCCACCCTGGAGGAGAAGGGTGTTTGAATGGCTGATCCTCATAATGCCAAACCTTGGTTTAGTGTTACATGTGAACCCCACAACGCTTATTTTAAAGCAAAGAAATGCATGCCATTTGCATGCAAACCTCTTGTAATTTTTTCTACAAAAATAGTGTCTTTCTGTGCAAAGCCAGTGAGCTGGCCAGAGTTATAGGAGCTGCTGGAAAACTTGTGGTTTGAAACACAGATGACAGATACTACCTGCCCAGCCCTATCATCCCTAAATGGGATCCTGGATACAGGAAAACATTTCCATGGTAGTCACATGTTGCCAGTTAGGAGCACTGGTAAGGGTTGGCCCAGGGGACTTCGGTGTGTGTGTGTGTGTGTGTGTGCTGGACCTCTTAAACTTAATTTTTTAAGGCAACAACAACTTTGCTTTTAGGGTGGCTGGGCACAGTGCTTGTGAGAACCAGTCATGTTCCATGGAAATTTGCCCAGAGGTCCCCAAATGACAGCCACAATTTGCATATATGTATAGGAACATAAGAAGCTGCCTTGTACCAGATTATTACTGGTCCATCTAGGTCAGTATTGTCCACACTCACTGGCAATGGCTCTCCAGGCCCTACCAGGAGATGCCAGGGATTGAACCTGGAACCTTGTGAATGCAAAGAAGATGCTCTACCACTGAGCTATGATGCTTCCCCTGCTCTGAGTGTCCTTCTCCTCCATTCAAAATAAGAACAAGAAACCAGGTCTTCTCAGGTATCACCTTTGGAATGCCCTTCTCAATGAGGTTTGTCTATTTTTCGGTTGCTGCCAGGTGAAAACCTTTTATTTGGCCAGGTCTTTTAATTTGCTGAGTTTTATATTACCCTGGAAGTTGATTGCTGCTGTGTTCTAATGTGTTTTACTGTTAGTCATTTTATTCTTAATGTTGCTCTGAGAGCTTTGGCTGAAGTGCAAGCAGCTAATAAAAGTTTTAAATGAATAAATAAATTTTACTATATATAATATATGAGGAAGGCAAAGAGCATAGGTCGTGCTCTGCCGTTGGCCCAGTCAGTGACACATTTCTAGTGCCTGTTGGTTTTGATTTTTACAAAGAATGATGGAGTGAGAGGATCTTGGCCTCATTCAACTCAGCTGGACCTGGGCACAAGAGCACTCTGCCCTCCTGCAGTTTCCATCAACCAGCATTCAGAAGCACAACTGCATGGAAGCAGAGCATAGCCATAATAGCTAGTAGCCATCAATAGACTTCTCCTTCATTCATTTGTCTAATCCCTTTCTAAAGCATCTAAATTGGTTGTGAGTTGTCTAGAGACCCGTGTTATTGGGCAGCCTATAATCTATGCTGTAAATACACAAATAAATAAAGTTGGCAGAAACAAAATGGCAGCTGGGCCAATGAAAGAAGAACTCTGGTGCTGCCTATAGCTGAGGCAAGAAGACACCTACCACGACTGCAGTGCTAAGGGTGAATCACCCCCTGATTCCAATTCTGAATTTTGTAGGGATGTGCACTGGATTCAACCAAAGCCTAGACTGAATTGGTTCAGTTGGGGGCCAAGGATCCAAGTTCAGGCCAAGTCAGGTTGAGACAGCCCTGGATCACCCTGAGTTAGGTTGGACCACCTGGAGCTATCTAGGACTGGCAGGGGTGAGGCATCAAGCAGGAAGGCTGCTGGTGAGTAGAGCATTTGGTCCTGTGGGCTGTTGGTTGTTCCTTCTCAATGGCCTTCCCCACAGGCATTGATCCTTCCTACTCTGGGTCTGGAGGGTGAGATCAGATGCAGCTTCTCCTTCCACTGTTCCTCTCCCCACCATATGCTTAATTATTAAACGTTATCCCTGCCAGGCTGGATGTTCCTCAGGTCATGGACAATCCAGGACTCTGAATCAGGGGCAGAGAGGGTGCTCTGCACAGCCCTGGAATTTTGCACCTCTACTGAAAAGACAGAGCAATACTGTCCCAAACTTTGCTGCCTGCAAATGGGGTGATGAAATTCAAGGTCCATTTGGGTTCAGTCAGTCAGATAAATCCTGGTTAAAACATCATTAAATATATTATACAGTCCATATAAATATATATTGGCTATACATTAATAGGTTTTAATGAACTATTGCATATCCAGTGCTATAAACAGTTACCATTGAAACAGGATCCTGGCTGCTTGGGATCAGCTGCAGTTACTGCCCCTCTGCTAGAATGAATAAGATACTTTATACTATGTATAAATAGTATGCATGCTATGTTTGTCATACCTTACTTACTGCTAGGAAATAAACTGCAAAAGAGGTGTGATGTTCTGCTCTTTCATCTTATATTTTTCTTAAGGATTCTGCTACAACCAAATCATCCCTTTATTGTTCCTAACCCAGCAGCCCAAAAGTGCCAGCAAAAAAGTTAATACCAAATTAACTTACCAATTTTGTGTTCAAATGTCAAAAATAAAATAAAAATTGAACATAAGAGAAAAATTTAGCTCAAAGAAGACTTGAGTTATTTCCAACACTGAAGCAGTCTTAATTTAAATTAGGAGTGAAGAATTGAAACACCGTATTTAAATGATTTTTTTTAAATACCCAGAAAAAGGAAGATAAAGTGGAAATCAAAATAAAAGCAATACAAGCATCAATACATACATTTTACAGCAAAAGATTCATACTGGGTGATATTTGAACTTCTTTGAAGTGTTCTTTCTCAACAGCAAGGCTTCTTCAATATTCTAGATGTGTTTACTATCACTCGGATGGGATATCAGCCTCAAATAACCAGCATGCTTAGCTCTAGTTAATGCACAAAGGGGTTAAGACCATAGAGTAAGCTAATTTGCCAAAATCAGCTTGGTCATGCCTTCTTACCTTGGGATGAAGGGTTAAGCAAAGGTCTCTGTTCACTCTCTTCCACCATGTGAATCTGACCAGAAAGGACATTTGGACTGATCACGCCAAGTCTAGACCATGTGTTTAGAAACATTTCACCAAATTTTGAAACTAGGTGTTACTGCCTGTGTTTGCTGCTGTATGGAAAAGCACACAAACCTGACCTTTGAAGAGGTTGTAAGTAAACCATTTTTAACTTGCCAAACTCTGTGGTCTTTTCTAAGCTAAAGGGGAAGCATTGGAAGCGATTTAAAATGGGATAGTCTAACAGCCTATAGTTCGATGCTTTACTTTGCTGCATGTTTTGTGATTTAAAATCTCTGCTGGGACTCTATTATCAGGGAGTACTTGCCCCAAATCTGGATCTAGGCATTCAGAGAAATCTTTTATTATTACCAAATAATAACCAAAACTAACACGTTCTTTCCATGCCAACTAATGGATCCACAACTTAGTTACTTATCATTTGCTGATTCTGTGCAACAATCACATGTGTACCGGTAATTAGGATTCTGATCTACCAGGAAATTGCTGCCACTCTGAGAATTGCACGTAGACAATATGTGCTTATGACATTAGCCCACTGAAATGCAGTAACGTACAGCTGGATAGGGACACTGTTCAACCAGAAGGCTGCATTCCATTTTCAACAGCCTCCCAGGGGCCAGGGGCCAGAAGCAAATGTAGGCAGAGCAACACATGTTTAATTACCTTTCCAATGACTTGTTTCTACACATACAAGCGGCAACCATTTTTGGCACATCCAACTGACATACAGCTGCTGATGCGTGGGTCCTTTTTGGACCTGGGAGAGGGAGGAATGGGGGCAGAATGGTGGGGTGGAATAGGGCAGGCTGGGCTTAGGCACATTCTGCTGACATTCACTTTGACCCAGAATACCACCTTTGGAGAACTGGGGAGCTGCCTGTAATCAAACATCCCTCTCTATCTTCCATTCAAACAAGCAAGAGGATTTTTAAGGGTTCAAGAATAAATTCCAATCAGCAAAAAATACTCAAGGAGGTGTAAGCAAGGCCAGTGAGGGGTATGGCCTGGGAAAAGTCCAGAGAGCAAGACAGAGAGACCTGGAGGGCTGAATTTGCACGCACACAAGCAGACTTGAGGTTTCCCATCCCTGGTGTAAAGCAACATGCCAGCTAATGTGAGTATAATATTGTTGTCAAACTGTTTATTCAAAGACTTGATTCTGATAAACAGTTAGTGCCCTTAATATGTAGTGGGAGATTTTGTACCATATTTTGTAATTTTAAGTCAATACAGAGACAGCAAGAGAGATCCTTTCGGTTGTTGTATTGTTTCCAGAAGAATGGTTGTGCCTAGGGTGGCTGGCTTTGTGCACTTGGTAACATATAAAACCCTCCAGGAGCAAGACTGATAAGGAAATTGTCTGTCAGATCTCTTTACCCCAATATACATGATAATGATGGGATTCAGTCTTTAAAATAAACATCAGAACATAGGTTATCATCACTTTAGCTACAGCAGTTCCCTGCTTGTAATAACTTTACATTCAATGGACAACACTGCCTACAAATACAGGATACAGCTGTCTGCGGGCACCTGCTTGACTCCATTTTATGCAAAGCTGTTTGTGGGGAAACTTGAACAAGGCATCCTGAAAGAGCCTATTTGTAAACCACTTATATGGCAGTGGTATGTTGCTGATGACTTTGTGATATCACCAACTGTATATATCCCTCTTTCAAGTTTGCGTTTGGTAACACCACCGATAAGCCATCCATCCCTTTCCTTGAGCCCTACCACCAGAAACAACAAAAAAAGTCACTGATCACAACAACAAATGCACTGATGCCCACAGCTATCTAGAGTGGAAATACAGGCATTCCAGACATATGAAGAGAAGCATTATCCACAGCTCGAATCAAAGTCATCTGCAACAACAAAGAAAACGATCAAAGAACCAGTTAACCTGAAGAACACCATCTGCACAGAGGATAGCCTCTACATGTTAATACAACATCTACCAGGAAAGCATTTTACCTGAAAACATGTTCTCCATGAAAGTGATGTATCAGTCAACAAAAACCACCTTATTCTGTGTTTAGTAGATTTCTATCCAACATCTCCTAGGTATCACCCGGCAATCAGAGAAAGCTACCCATTACTAGCAAATTCAGAACATCTTGCTCAAGCAATCAGCAAGCCTCCTGTTATAGCATTCTGCCAGTTTCCAATCTATGGAGACTATTAGTGAAAGTTATACTGAAGCCACCAATCAGCAATCCTAGATCACATCCTCATGACTCAAAACACTGTATTGCCTGTGTTTATCTCATGCAGACAGTTACGTTCAAAAGCACTATGACTGGCATAATTTATTATATCAAACAAAACATCACTTGTGGGCCATGCAATGTAATTTATTTCAATGAGTGCAAATGCCCAGAATGCCACTCAGTTCATGGGTAAATCAACAACTGATCTACGCACACTTTTTAGGAACCATAAGTCCACAACCTTGATTGGGAAAATGGAAAAACTAGTTGCAAAGCACTTCAATTTGAATCACAGTGTCTCTGATTTATCAGTTGTTGTAACAGAGATGGCCGTCTGACCCAAGAGCATTGGAAACATCTGGGTCTATAAACTTGATGTTGACACCACATGAGCTCAGCTCAGACAATACTATTACCTGACATCACTCACCTACAGAAATGCTATACCTCTGACTATTCCATCCTCAGTGTCCTAGAACTGTCAATCTCTTGGGGTATGGGCGGGGAGTCTCAGGCCCCAATGTGGCCCTCTGGGCCTCTCTGCCTGGCCCTTGGAACTC